GCCGTACAGCAGTGTATATGAGGAAAGAGTGCTATCTATCTATCTATCTATCTATCTATCTATCTATCTATCTATCTATCTAAAAGATTTGCATGGCCACCTGTCTTAAACACAACTCTGGACAGCTCACAACATCAATAAAAACCCTCAACTATAAAAAACCATAAAACCATTAAACACAGCCAAAACCTGGCACCTCATTCATCCTCTTGTGATGTCCCAGCAACCAACCCAGAACATTCTTACTCTACCCCAGCACCTGAGTAAAAAGCCAGGTCTTGATGGCCTTCTGGAAGGCTAAAAGAGTGGGGCGTGCTGGATCTCAAGGGGGAGGCTGTTCCATAAGGTAGGGGCAGCCATAGAAAAGGCACACTTCTGAAGTCCCAATAGGACTGGCACCTGGAGTGTGCCTACCCTATCTAATCTGGTAGGTTGGGCAGATACTCTCAGGGAGAGGCAGTGCTGCTGTATGATACTTTTTGCTCCTAAATGAAAGATGGGATATCTAATAAGTAAATAAGTACAAGTCAGTAAGTACGAACTGAGGGTGAGGATAGGACAGTGTATGAAATATAAATATACTAATGACATGAATGAGAGGAACATGGAATGAGAACAGTGCATATCATTAGGTTTTCAGGTGCGTCTTTGTGCTTTTTCATAGTGCTACAAGGTTGCTTTGATAGCATGAAAATTACAAAGTGTTTTTATGATAAAGGCTATATACAATAATAGGAGCAAACACACATACATACACACACAAAAAAAACCCTGAGAACTTGCTGGAAGATTTTATGAGTTATTTCATGTTTTTTGACCATTGGGGTTTTCCCTGCAAGGCAAGATATTATTAATTGGAAATTACTGCATTTTCAGTGTTCACAAAGCATAGAATCAGTTAGAAGGGATTTCCCAACTCTAGTAGTTCAATCCTCTTTTGAAGCAAGAATTAACAGTCCTAATAGCATCTCTAATAGCTCCCTCTTTCTTAAACGTTTTGTAAAAGGAACAACAGCATATGATGTGCCAAGTACAGTAAGCTGTATTTTGTAACCTTATACGTATTTCCTTTTGAACTCTGGGCTCTATTGTAGCAACCAGGATGGCCTCTTGCATGACATTATGACAGCATGTTGTGTAGCATGAGAACTAGCCTGAAGATAACTGTAGACATATCTGCAGTAGTATTTAGAATTAAATAAAACAATGAGTAGTCTGATGGACTAAAATGATGCTTTATTTTTTTCATAACAGAAGTAAGTAAGAATTACTACAGTCTAATCATATGCTTTGCTTGAATAATTTACATAATTAATAGATATTTATATTTATAGACTTCTAGAGAAAGCACTTGTATTTTGTAATAAGGTCAGTGTTTTCTCTGATACATGGATAAATGCATTGCTGTTGTCATGCATGGATCATTCTTAAAATAACTATTATGTTTTATACAGTCTGTTCAAAGATTTCATTTTTAAGATTCATTAACTTCAGTGGAAGTCATTTAGGTGTCTGTTTAATTCATCCTTTGAAATCAGTTATTTCTGCATATGCTAGCTTTGTGGCTATCTAATAATGGTTTTAAGAATTAAATCACGCAGTAATTGCAACAAAACACAGAAGTCTTATTAGATCCCTGTGTGAAAGACTAGATAATGAAAATATTTTTTTCTCTATTTCGGAAATAATTATATAAATATATTTACTTTTGGCATCCTTATTTTTCATATTACAGACAATTGAAGCAAGGTTCATGTTGAAGGAAGTATATTTTTTTTCTTGCTGCACATCTCTTACATATATTTGAATTACTTCATGTCTCCTTTTGTTAGTTCTTTGTATATATGTATTTGTCCTTGCTATTTCCAGCTGAGATTTCCAAAGGAAATGTGAATTTAGACTTTCTTTTTATAGCATGAATGAACATGAAGAGGAACAAGTTATTAACATTGCTCAAATTTGGTTTAAAACTTATTTTATGATTTTAGGTAATGAGACAAAGTAGAGGCAGTACTCTAGCTTTAAATTAAGTGAATCTGATACATTTTTATTTCAGCTTATATTGTTCAGCAGGCTTTACAAATAACACTGAAGTAAACAATAATAGATAGGTGTCATGGTGGCATAGTTTAATTTTGTCTAGGCAGCTGTTTTCATGTATATAAAACTGTTTAAATTCCGTGAACAGTTTTTACTGATAGATAGCTTTGCTTAGTTTTTTTTTTCTTTCTTTTTAAACAACACTGTTTCCCGGAAGGAAACTGTGGCCTCTCGGTTCATTGTAATGAGTAATTGAAGAAGTGTTACTTTAGTTTTAGGAACTTCTGTAGATTTCTTATGACATAGTCACAGTATTAACTCATGCTGAGCCTGTCTTCATGAATTTTTTAAAATTACATAGACTTTCAGTGATATGGAAGAACTGGATGTTTAATCAGGATCCCGAACATGTGTTCCAGGTAGATAATTCAAAAGAGAATGAAGACAATCTCTTGCAAAGGGAAGTGCCTCTTCGACAATCTCGGCGGAGGTTTCGGAAGATTAATCAAAGGGGAGAACGTCAGACTATTACAGATAATGTGGATGTTAGTAGCTACCTTTCAGTAAGTGTATTTCCTATACTCTTAATTATTTACTCACCTGCATTCATATCTCTGTGTGTTTGATTTTCTGTTGGATCAAATGAAGAGATAGATGAAATTAGAAAGTAGATATTATAAAATGTGGAATGATAGATTGTTATTTATGCACAACACTTTAAAACAGCTATAGCTATCTTAGAAACAGTCTAATATTCTATAAACTCTGAAGATCAGCATTGTGGCAATTTAGTAATTTTAGACAATGAGAGTTTTTATGTATATATATATATATATATGTGTGTGTGTGTGTGTGTGTGTGTGTGTGTATGTATATTTATTTATGGAAGTTTAGCCACATGCTGAAAATTCATGCTTAGCATGACAAATCATTTGTGTCAAATGAGCTATAATTTCAATTTAATTTTATATTACTAGTCATCCTAGTTGTTAATGTCTTTCAGCATTTTAGAAAAACATTAGCTTCTCAAGAATCAAATTAAAATGAACTTTTGAGATTGTTTAACTTCCATCAACCTAACTAAGAGACCCAAAAGTTAGTTTTAAAATTGCTTTGATTGATCTGGAATGAAATTAGGCAAATCTTTATAAGCATAATTAACAAAGAGTGTGAGTGCTAAAACTGTTTTTAAAAAACTGGATTTCCCCATTCTGGAAGGAGATTAAAGCTGCCTTCTCTTCCCAGCCCTGTCCCCCCTTTCCTGAGTTGAGATGAATTCTCAAGTTGTTCTGGAGATTACTTTTATAGAATAAGAAGGCAATCTTCACTTGCTTTTAGTATTTCTTGCAGATATTAGAAGTTTGCTGATTGTTCATGTTTCAAGAATAAAGTTTTATAAGGGGCATGTACTTTTTCTGTGCATTTTTTTCTGAATGTAATACGTAGAATACTTCTTCATGAATATATCTTGTTTTGATTATCTTTGATCATTAAAAGACATGTTGAAGAAGCTGCTGCAAATTTATTCACTTAAGTTATTTGTATGCCATATTTCAGTCTTTTGTCAGTAGCTGATAATTCTGTTTTTACTTGTATATTATTATATTTATATTCCTCTTTTCTTCTAATATAGGCCCCCCACTTTTTTGGGCTGGTGGGCATTTGTTGCATTTTGAGAATATGTTTTGGGTGCTATGCTGGCACAGCTTGCTTATTTACAAAATAAAGACATTTGCAAACAAAGCTGAAGCTGCCAATCCTTTTCATTTTCTAAAGAGAAGTAATAGAGCTACTTTAGAGCCTAGAGGAATTTTTGGAAATAGGGTGTTGCTGGACACTGGTAATTTGCTTTGCTTTGCAGTATTCCAGCTTCTGGAAGGAGGAAGACTTCAGATTATACACAAAATTTTTATATGTGTGTATACACACACACACACACACACACACACAC